AATATGATATATATTATTATCTAACACACTCCTCAAGTAAAAGCCTTTTAGGTTTGAAACTTGTACAGACCCACATTACTTTATGCTTAGTTTTTATCAAGTAAATAGGAATGATGAGATTTGCTTGTGATCGCTTGGTTATTAAGACTCTGATACCATGTCAAAGAACTATCTCAACTCTATAACTTAAGTTGTTAGGTAAGGTCATAAAATATGATATATATTATTATCTAACACACTCCTCAAGTGAAATCTCTTTATACTTGAAACTTGCACAGGTTCACATTACTTTATGCTTAGTTTTTATCAAATAAATAGGGATGATGAGATTTAAACTCATGATTGCTGGGTCATCAAAGCTCTGATACCATGTCAAAGAATCATCTCAACCCAATAACTTAAGCTGTTAAGTAAAGTCCCATAATATAATTTATATTATTTTCTAACATATAAAAGAAAAAGGAAGCTTTTCTGATACATCCTTTTGATACCAGTATATCTGGAAGGGGGAAGCTCTTTGATTTTTTTCATTAACATCACTATCAAAGCTTGTGGTCTTCTCTGTTTAGCTAGGGATCCACAACCTCTTCCATCATCTTTCTAGGCATAACTCGCACAAGAAACAGGATACAAAAATGGAGAGTTCTTTTCCATCTTTGAGTTGAAGATCGCCCTTCTCCCTCTTATTTTTTTTAGAACTTCAACTCCCTTTCTTCCTCTCAAAACCACCAGTAGCAAAGACCTAGTACCACCCATGAGCCAATATCAGTAATAACAGCCTCCTTCACCTTTTTCACCTATGACAACCCCTCTCCACATCTAGCCAGGACAACTCCATCTTCCACCCATGATAGCCATGATAAAGCAACCCTTAAACATCCTTCATAAAACAACCTCGAAATCAGCTCAAAAACAACCCATAAAACCACATCTAGACAATTGTGAAAACTCCTACAATAACATCTTGAAATAGACCCCAAACCAGATAAAGCAGTACCATTAAAACACCATCCAAATAACCATTTTCCATAACAAGAAAATCAAATTCCAAGTCATCACAAGAAAACCATCAAATCATCACAAAACTGCCTTACAAACAATAGCAGTAGGAACCAGGTACGTTGAAAAATAAAATAAAAGGAGATATCAAATTTCAACATAACAACCTCTCTTTATAGATGTTCATTTGCATCTTTGTTAATGGAGAATCTAAGAAGATATATAGCAGTTTCAAACCTCATTGAATTTTCTTCCAGAAAAAGGAGTGATAACACTCAACAATAGGAAGAAAAGACAAACCTAGACTGAAAAACAAGGAGAAAACTAAAAGTTTAACATAACAATTTACAAGTGTCTGTTTGCGACGCTGCTAGTAGGGAATCAAAGAGGGAATGTAGTAGTTTCAAACCTAGTAGAAAGCTTTCCTAGAATCAACAAAAGTAACACCTATAAGTTAGGAGAAAAGGTAAATCTAGACTAAAAAACAGAAAGAATGCTGAAACTTAAATGTAGCAAAGCTCCCTCTACAAGTATCCATTTGCTACATTGCCATTAAAAAATCAAAGAGAAAACATAGGAGTTTTAATTCACCAAATTTACAACCTTCAGAAATAGTAGTACATGACCTCACGCACTAACAACAGGGGTGACACGTGGAACTAATATGTGGTCACTATTCTAGCAATTCTAGCATTTCTAGCGGCTCCAATCTATTTTCAAAGTTCTGGAAAGTTCTTTTCAAATCTTAGACTATTTAATGTGTTGTTTGTGATTGTTTTTGGTTTATGATAATAATGATAAACATTTATGATTGTAGGGTGTATATTAGTTTAATCAATAAAAATGGATGTGTGTGTGTGTTTGTATTTTTTTTGTTGGCATGGTTAAAAATTAAAAAAATCAAATATTTTAATTTGCATCACAAGCAAGCTTTTTAAAAAAGAAAAGTATAAAAAAATATCTGATTTGTATAATTTAGTTCCTTTTTCAAGTACTTTTTCAAACATAAAAAATAAAAAAAAATCATTTTTGCATGTTGTAGCATTTTAAAAAGGAAAAAAATGTTTTTAACATTTTTATAAAGAAAAATTGTATTTTTGTTGCATGTATTTTGGATTTAATAACAAGTTTATCAAGCCCATTAAAAACTTGACCAAATTAAAATGATAGTTAGGCTTACATGCTAAAAAAACAAAAGAATAAAAATCCATTACTTTTTTATTTTTAAAAATAAACAATGACAAGGTTTTTTAATTAAATGTTCAAACGCACTTATGTCATTAGAACTCAACCTAGGATTGTTTGAGTTAAGTGGATTTAGAATGGATATTAATTTTGATATTTATTAATATTAGAGTTAGAAATATTTATTAATGATAGAATAAAAAATATTAAATTTAATAGTTATTAACCCTAAATTCAGAAATATCCACCATAATATTTACTAATTCCAAAGTCATAAATATTAATATACAAAACCATTAATAATAATATATAATAATTCATAATAATTTAAAATAAAACTAGTAATATCTATCTAAGATAAAAAAAACTTTAAAAATAATAATATTTTTTCTAACATAATCAATTTCTTATCATGAAATCTTTAAAAACCGATCAGAGTTTGCAATAAATATAATATCAATTGATGACCGTATAAACAAGACTCTTTCCTCGAAAGAACTGTACACTAGAAATCACATTCTCTTTTCCTTTTTTTGTCTTAAAAAAACAAAAATGACTTTTAAGATCTTTTTGAAACAAGGGTAAATAATAAGGCTATATTCCCACTAAATTCAAACTTTACTTTCCTAGCATTTGGAAAAGTTAGGGCTCTGTTCATTAACATAATTTTTTTTTTCAGTTTTTCATTTCGAAAGAAAACTTTAAAACCTTGTTCATTTGTTTAGAATAAAATGATTTTTTTCATAAAAAACACATCATGATTATAATTACTTGTCATTAAAAAAATGAAAATTATAATTTATTATAGTCATCTTAATAATCTAATTATAGAATATTAATTTTCTTTTATTTAAATTAAAAATTATCATAAAGAAGATTACTGTTAACTTAAAAAGGGATTTTTATATTAGATTTATAATAAAGATTAAGTGTATGAAACTAAAGAAATATAAAAATATTAGATTTCTAAAAATCAAGAAATTTTTTTGCATAACTCATATCTTTTTTTTTTTATTTGATAGAGAACTCTTGAAGTGTGTTTTTCAAATTCAATATAAATTTCGAGTTTTCTACAGGAAAGAAAAATATTATGTTTGAACACAGATTTTCAGTTTTTTTTCTTCAATTTTTTTGAAAAATTAAAACATTATCTTATTTCTGAATAATCTCTAAATTTCTCACATAACTAGGGAATATAGGAAGGAGAAAGTGAGGGGAGTGGAGGGAGGATGTTTGGAAAATGAGATTTATAAAAAGATTTCCAAATTCCATAAATTTCTTAAGTTTTAAGAAACAAACAAATTAAAAAAAAAAGAAAAGAAAAACCACTCCCTCTCCCTTTCTCCCTTTCTTCCTCTGGTCTAGCATGTCCATTCTCCTTAGGAACAACTACCAAGCCCTTTCAAGGAAGATGATTTATCTACCTATTTATAAAAGTGAGTAAATTGGGAGAGTTATATTGATTGTATTTTAAAGTGTTTTTTTATTTAAAAATATATTAAATTAATTTTTATTTTTATTTTTAAAAATTTATTTTAATTATTAGTATATCAAAACAATTTAAAAACACTAAAAAATTTAATTTAAAATAAAAAAAACAAATTTTAATAAAAAATAATTGAAACTTACTTTTAAACAACCGCTCATAAATCCATCCGAATGTATAAATGACATAACAAGGGCAGCCGTTCCAAATGCAAAGGCCATCACGTTTTCAAGTATCCAATTTCTCATTTGTTGACTATAATCATAACATTATTCAGACAATTAATTAAATGAAGAATTATAAAGCTTCCATTAGTTGATATATCACATCAAAGGGTTTTTCTTTTAATTTACAAACTATATATATATATAGTATTTAAATTACACAAATTATTAAAAAATATTATTTTAATATTTGTTCAAAATAAATACATTTTTAAAAAATACTAAAAAATAAAAACCATCGCATTCTCAAAAAAGATAAATCAAGTTTTAACCACTTGTTCTAAGCCTTATATATCACCAAACATAAGTTTTTCCTTTTCTTTTTGGGAACATAATATTCAAAATGGAGTATAATAAAAGGCAACTGAGTATTGAAATTTTTCTCAGAGGCAATATCATATTTTCATATGAATCTCTTGTCTCCAGCTATGGGAGATCCCATTTATGGAGCTCTATGTATTAACAAGCAGGAATTGTCAAGGAATTTGCGCAAATAGATATAATTTGTTTAATTACAGAAATTTTAAAATAAAAAAATTGATGCTAATACTAATAAGAATAAGTATATATATATATAAAAAAAAAGTATATAAAAAGAACTTTTTTATGCTAATACTAATAAGAATAAGTATATAAAAAGAACTTTTTTTTTTTTATAATTCCTATGATGAGCTTATCCCTAGAAAAGAATCAATTTAGAGAGCCCTTTGTGGCTTCGGTGGCTACTAGATAAAGGCCTTGCTGCTTCAAGAGAAGCTCCCATAAGGTCACTTTGGATCTTTAGGTATATTTTCTTTCTTATTTTCTTTTGAAGTAAGATTCTAAGCATTGCATTTTCATTTTGAAAACAAGCATCATCTATGCAACACCATTCTATCACAAAATTAAAAAAAAAAAGAAAGAAAGAAAGAAAAGAAGAACAAAACAATATAGTGTTAGGCCGCCGGTTTCCTTAATATTTCCTTTTCTGTGATATTATTTTAAGAATTTATGTTTGCATATGTAAGAAAACACATATCCAAAATGCTAGACTAGCCTTCTCCCTATCAGTATCAGTCCAGCATTCCCTCTCTGCTACCCATAAATTAAAAATTCAAAAACATCGTAAGAACTAAGAAGAAACCAAATGGTGTCTTTTCCACAGTCAAACCACAATCTTTGAGGGAATCGTTCCTTCTTCGTTGCATCCAAGAAAGCAGCCACACAGAAGCGCAAACCTCAACAACAACACAGTTTCTAACGTTTCTGTCTTTCACATTGCGCATTGCCTCTATCGCCTTGCATTGTCCCACTCTGCCACTCAAGTCTTTTTTTCTTATTTCTTTTATGTCCACCACTGTAATACAGTAAAACTTTCTTTGAGATATAGTCTAAGTGCCCCCTTTTTTTTTAATCTGTGAATGGATCATCCACCGAGTCGCACTACATCCTCTGATGGACTTAAGGTAATGAGTTTCTTGCTGATTCTTTTTAAAGCCAAATTCAGTTCTTGTAATGTGTGCTTAGCTTGTATATTTGCATGCTGATGTTTCTTGATTCTCCTTTCACCTGTGGGATTTCTTGTTTTGGGCTGAAACGCTTCTTGTTAACTTCGTTATCAGCAATAAAAGAATACAGAAAAAAAGATAAAAAAAAATTGTTGTCATATTTAGATGGATGTAAATTGTTGGACATGTTGTTCTCGATAATTTGCTAGTTGAACATATCAAGAACCATCACAATATCAATTGTATTTTTGCTCGATGAGAACTTAAAATGATTTTTGGTCTGGTTTGTTTAAACAAAAGATCTAATCTTTATAGATTGACTGCTTGAATTCTTCTATGCTTGTTGTTAAAATTTCTATGATTTTCATGAATGATGATGGGTTTTTTTTATCTATTCTTGGTAAATTGCATATACTGGAGTTGATTTTTATCTTTTACCAATAAGGCATGTTGGCTTGAAAACTACAGTTTTATTTTTGCTTTCCCCTGAAATTTTGCTTGGTCTTCCATAGGCAATTTTGTGGCCTATGGTCTGCCATCTCTTTTATGATCATCTTCCAGCACATTTCAAAAATTAATCGATGTTGAGCTTCAGAGATTTGTGCTTCTTGAGGAGAAACTGGAGGTTCATTTGATAACCGTTCCTTAGTTTCTCGCTTGTAAGATGGCATCCCAAATATTTCTAGTTAGCAGGACTCTCTCATATTGTAACTGAATATGCTAGTTATTCTATAGTATGTGCTTGGCCATCGAGCACAGCAGTTGTAACTTTTATCTGTTGTTTTGCGTGTATAGATAGCGAAATGCATAGAAATTGTTTTTCCCAGGTGTTTTCATTTGCATTTGTTAATTTATTTAATATTTATAGAGTTTGAAATCGTTAATGAGCTAATTTCTCTGCTGTGTAAATCTTTTTTCAACCAAGTAATTGAAATATAACTACAGTTGCAGAACTGTCTTCAGATTCTGAGTGATCCAAAACTGTCTTTGAATTTACATTTTTATATGTCAATTTTTACAGGAGACCTGGAGGCATGCACTCGTTCTGTCATTTCAAACTCTTGGAGTTGTGTATGGTCGCTTGAGCACTGCTCCATTATATGTTTTTGGGACGATTCAAACGAAAGATTTCAAATCCAATGAGATTGCATATGAATACTTCTCTTTTATTTTCTGGACTCTCACTGTTGTTTCTTTACTCAAGTATACCTTCATTGTACTGAGGGCTGATGATAATGGAGAGGGTAATGCTCTTTGCCAACTGAAAACTCAGGATTATTTTTACATGATCATATCATGAAGTGTTATTTACCTCAACAAATTCTTGCAGGTGGTGTTTTTGCTCTGTACTCATTATTATGCAGGCATGCTAAAGTGGGTCTGATTCCAAACGACACAAGCACCAATGAGGTTATGCAACATGAAGAAGAAAGCACTTTTAGGGGAAAAGTTGAATCAAGGGCAAGAAGAGCCATAAAAAACCATAGAAGTAGTCATTATTTGATGCTGTTCACGGCATTATTTGGTGCTTGCATGATAATTGGAGATGGGGTGATAACCCCATCTATTTCAGGTTAGGCATTCCTGAATCTTGATAAACTCTAATTTGTCAGTGCGGTTAACTTGTTTAACCTTTAGTTCTCTCCTGTTTTCCCTTCTTATATGCTAATGCTGTACCCTTTACCAGTGTTATCAGCTTCATCAGGTCTTCAACGTTCATTATCAGAAATTAAATGTAAGGGCTAGCTCTACGAAAGTGCACAAAGAGTACTTCATATTTTATTATAGCCTCGATATCAATATCCTTTCATAATTTAATTTCTAACCTCAGTTTCTCTGCAGACTCCTCCTCGCCAGATGCACAAGGAGCCATATCAGATGCTTTAAAAAAATGTGAGTGACTTAGCATGAAAATAGTTTTGGCATATAGGATGAAAATTTCTGCTTTGGCTACCTTGTAGCATTTACAGCAAAAACTTACCAGTGTAATCTGCAGCATTTGGAAATATGATTGACCTCTGCAGGATATCTATTATTTTTTTCACTTTTAATGCACATTACAAATCTTTTTTTCCGACGACAGAAAATGTTAATAATATTTTCCATTATTTTGTGTCATGGTATTTTGTTTCAAGTGATTCTGGATGATTAGCATGTCCCAGCAATGACCTATATGACATTTTCATTTCTGTATGTGTTAAAGAACAATTGTCACATGACATATATATCTTGGTAAGAAGCTAGAAGTTTTAATCCTCTAAAAACATAATATCAATGATGATGCTTTACATTTTCTTTTCAAGATTAATAGTTTCAAATAATTAAAGCTTGAACTGATTACAATTTTAAATCACTTGCGATGATTATATGGAAGTTGTAAAATTTTGGTTTTCATCTTCCTCGTCTTCTCATTAAAGGATTTGCCAAGTTTTGGCTATCTAACTGATCTACTTCCAAAATATGTGCCTTTTTCAGATGTACCAGTGCCGTCTGCTTGTGTCATAACAGTATGCCTCTTTATACTGCAGCACTATGGGACCCGTAAAATCGGGTTTATGTTTGCCCCAATTGTCACTATATGGCTTCTGTTTATTGGTGGAGTGGGTATATATAATATATTCCAATGGGACCCTGAAATCTTCTCTGCATTGTCCCCAGTATACATGTACAGATTTGTAAGAAATATCAACAAAGACCGTTGGAAGTCGCTGGGTAGCATTCTTCTCTGCACAGCAGGTTGGTTAACGTGCTCCTTGTTCTATACTAGTTCTTTTATTTGTTTGTCCTTTTTTTGCTTCTCTCTGAATATGTTGTTTATGGTAGTAACAAATTGTGTTAACTACTCTGTCTGACTACTTATCCTGCAGGATCAGAAACAATGTTCACAGATTTAGGTCATTTCCCTAAGAGATCAATCAAGGTATTGAAAATAGCTCAATATTTGTTGCGATTTCACAATTACACGGAATCAGTACAAAATTACAATATAACTTTTGTTTGGTGTCTCTGATGCAGATAACATTTGTCTGCTTGATTTATCCAGTTTTAATTTTGTGCTATGCTGGTCAAGCTGCTTTTATCTCTAAACACTGGAATGGTCCTGAAAATTTTAATCATTTAAGTGAATCCATACCTAGTAAGTCTTTCACTGTTGTCTTATGTTGTTTGATGCTGCTTCACCTGGGATATATGTTTCTAACTTGTGGAAAGCATTGCAAATCCAGAACATCTTCGTCATGTCTTCATACTGCTATCTCTTCTTGCTTCGGCCGTGGGAAGCCAAGCAACAATACCAGCCAGCTTCTCCATTATAAACCAGTGCCGTGCACTTAGTTGTTTCCCCAGAGTAAAAGTTATACATACATCAGATAAGAGACATGGACAGGTTTATATTCCAGATGTCAACTGGTTATTGATGGCCCTTAGTCTCTCCATCACTCTTGGTTTCCATGATATAACTAGAATTGCAAATGCAGCAGGTATTGTCCATCAATATTATATTCATTCCCTTTTTCTGAAACTCTGAGGTTCTAGGATCCTTGAAAAAGATAATGATGTTCTCTAGGAATCATTTGGAGAACAGTAAAGTAGTCAACTTTCAGTTGAGAATTTATGAATCACAATAGCGTGAGGAGAGTATGAATCAATTACAAGATAAAGCCTAGGGCAATAGATTTCTTAGTGATATCAAGCTTTCACTTTCCTAGATGTTACAACAATTAAAGTAGCTATTAATAGTTTTCAAAATATTGACATGTTTAGGTGCTTGGATGCATTTTTTCTTTAATACTTCAGATTTTTTATAGTTACATCTAATGTATACTGGTTAAATCCCTATACAGGTATGGCAATTGTTTTTGGGATGATAGTAACAACTTGTATGATGTCCCTTGTGATGGCTCTGTACTGGGAGAAGAGTTTGTTCATATCAGGATTCTTTTTGATGTTCTTTGGTTTTGTTGAGGCTGTATATGTATCGGCATGTATGCTGAGCTTTCATAAAGGAGCTTGGTATCTATTTGTCCTTTCAGCTGTTTCCTTCACTATAATGCTTGCATGGCATTATGGAACTATGAAGAAATACGAGTTTGATTTGCAAAACAAGGTTTCTACAGAATGGCTCACAGATTATAGCCCAGGCCTAGGAGTTTCCAGAGTACCTGGAATTGGCTTAATCTACACTGATATCGTAATGGGAATCCCAGCTTTCTTCTCACATTTCATCACAAATCTTCCTGCATTTCATCAGGTGCTGATCTTCGTGTCTTTCAAGCCCCAACCAGTTCCTTGTGTGCCTCCCAGTCAGCGATATTGTGTAGGCAGGGTTGGTGGCAAAGACTACAGGATTTACAGATGCATTGTGAGATATGGGTACTGTGATCAGGTTAGAGACACGGATGATTTTGAGGAACAGATTATTGGCTCAATCGGAGAATACATTTCCTTGGATGAAAGCGATTGTGAATCGCTTACTTCTCCTGAGGGAAGAATGGTGATTGTTGGGACGCCATTGTTGGAAGGACATGCGTTGATTCCTGTAGATGATACCAACTTGGTTTCCGGTTCCACAAATGCTGCTAACAATGAAACTCTGGCAATTCCGGTGGGAGATTTGATTGGACGAAATACTCCTGTCAGGAGAAAAAAGGTTCGATTTCTAATTCCAGAAAGTAGTCCTAGATTGCGGGAATCTGTCAGGGATGAGCTACAAGAACTGATTAATGCCAGGGAAAGTGGCACTGCATATTTCCTAGGTCAGTCGCATTTAACAGTGCGTAATGGTTCTAACTTTTTTAAGAAATTCCTGATTATGGCCTACGTCTTTCTTGATAAAAATTGCCGTGAACCTCCAGTGGCATTGAATATCCCTCATGCTGCTCTCGTAGAGGTTGGCATGGTGTATATTATATAAACTATATGTATGGTATGGAACTTTTTATACGTCTGTTTGTCGAAAAAGAAACACAATTATTAATCATAACTAAAAGGGGATAGTTGTTTTACTGTAAACTGTGAATATTTTCATTATAATTGTACTGTTTGTTATTATAGAGTAAATTATTGTAAATTTAAGTGATTTTACTATGAATTATATTATTTGGTGAAGCATTCCATGCTGCAGATCCGCGCATCTCGGGTCTTTTCTAACCTGTACCTGGGTTTTGCAAACCTTTCTAGAGGTCGGAGACCTGAGCGACAGGGGTCTGCACTCTGCATAGAAGAAAAAAAAAATAACAATTATTATTATTATTATAGTTAATAGTTAATAATTTATAAAAATTTGGTAAGAAAAGTTCAATAATATTATTAATATTATTATTTGTATTCTAAATATTATTATCTTTATTATAATTAAAAATATTAATCTTAAGAATATTATTATTGTGATATAAATATTATGATTCTTATTATAATTAATCTTATTAATATTAAAAATATTGTTATTTTTATTATAAATATTAAAAAGAAAAAATAAATTTGATTTGTACGGTAAAATTAAAAATTAATATTACTATTATTGTTGTTGTTATTATCATTAGTAAACTTTTTTTTAAAAGTTATTATTGCCTTCAAAGAAGAACCATAATTTTTGTTTAAAAGATTAAAAAATATAAGAATTTGGATACGTACACCTGGCGCTAAGACTGTTAATCCCCAGGTGTAAAGCTAGACCAGCGTGCCTGACCGCGACCCTAAGCTATAGATACCTGGTACCAAGTTTGCCTAGCCCTGGGTAATAAGGACTAGCTCGCGCGCCTGGCTACAAACACAGGCGAGCGAGTCTACAAGCCCATGCCTAGAGGTTTGCAGATTCACGTGCAATGACTATATGCCCGAGCTGTGGGTGCAGACTAGCACTAGCAAGCTGCAAAACTGTGTATCTGAGGTCTATAGACCCGTCTACTGGTCTCTTCTGACCTGCATTGGGATTCTACAGTAAGTCCACATACCCTGAACTTGGTCCTTAACCACATCCAGGTACACTACACTTGGTAGCCTACCAAGTCCACATGTACCTTGGACAAGGCCCCTGTAAAGTTCATGTTCTCCTAGATTTGGTCGCCTACCAAGTCTATGTGTCCATCATCCATACCCATGTATAATGGTTCCATCATCCAAACCCAAATGTAATGGGTTCTGCATCCATATCCACCTCTCTTGGGTCTGTGCAGGACCTAAGGCTAATGGGTCCATCAACAAGGCCGAACCCAAGAGAGGTGGGTACGAACGCCTAACCTATATATCTTTAGTGTTGTGCTAGCACCTAATTCTTTTAGGTCTAGCATCAGGACCCACAACTAAGAGGTCCTGACAACTAGACCCAAAGCTGATAAATTCTATAGCAGGACCCAATTTTCTTGAATTTAAGGCAGGACCTATTAGCTTGAACTGTGCGCCTATGTTTTGGAGATTTGGGAGCCTGTGTTCTACAGTCTCGCACACCTGGATCTCTTCTAACCCATCAAACCCAACAACACTTCAAAAATGACTCGATCTGACTGCCCTGTGAGACCATCGATCTTGGATCTGGCTGGGCAGTTGAACCCAATATCATTGTATTGTAAATATTAAAAATATTATTATTTATAGAAGAACCCAATATCATTGTATTGTAAATATTCAAAATATTATTATTTATAGAAGAAATATTGTTATTGTTATTATAATTAATATTATTAATATTAAAAATATTATTATTTGTTTTATAAATATTGTTATTTTTACTATAATTAATATTATTAATAAAATAATTTATAAATTTGAAAAAAATTATAATCAATATGGAAAAAAAACATGGAATTGATTTGAAAGGTAAAATGAAAAATAATAATTATTATTATCATTAATAAATTTGAAAAAATATTATTGCTATTGAAGAAAAATCATATATTTGATTTGAAGGGATTAACAACAATGAGAACTTGAATCAGACAAGTTTAATATTATTAAATTTGAAATAAATATTATTACTATACAAATCATATAATTGATTTGAAGAGTAAAATCAATTACTACCATTACTACTACTATTATTACTACTATTATTATTAACTTGGGTCAGACATCCCCTTCTAGACTCAAGAAGCTTTGGTCTGGAAAGGGACGCCTCACCCAAGTTGCTTGGATGTGGCATGAGCGCGAATCTAAATCCCTTGGGTCTTGCAACCTCGCCTAACCTAAGACTATATGTACAACGTAAGAACCCAATTCCCCTTCAAGACTCAAGAACCTTTGGTCTGGAAACGGGCGCCTCACCCAAGTTGCTTGGGTGTGGCATAAGCGCGGACCTAAATCCCTTGGGTCTTGCAACCTCGCCTAACCCAAGACTATATGTACAATGTAAGAACCCAATTCTCATGATTCTTGTGTCAAAACCCAAATGCCTTGGGTCTTGCAGCCCCGTCTGATTTAAGACTATGGGTCTTGCATCAAAACTAAAAGCTGATGGGTCCTACACCACGACTCAAGGCTAATGGATCTTGCATAAAGGACCCAATTCGCTTGGGTCAATCATTTAATGGGTCTTGACACTAGACCTCATAGAATTGGGCCATGACGTCAGACCCAATAGAATTGGGTCATGACATCAGACCCATTAGACTTGAAACTTGAAACCAGACTTAAGCAAAATAGGTCCCCTGTCAAAACCTAATTCTCTTGAGTTTGCCTAGGACCCAATTATCTAGGGTCCGGTGTCTGAACCCAAGTCTAATGGGGTCCTGCGTCAAGATCCAATTTTCTTGGGTGTTACGCTAGGACCTAATTCTTTTGGGTTTATGGTAGAACCCAATTCTCTTAGGTCTTAAATTTTTATGATATTTTTTATAAAAATAAAAGGTGAGCTCGCGGTATAAAGCAGACCACCTAGTTAGAAACTATAAAGTGTGTGGCTTTGTTACTGTAGCCACATAATTAAGATTTTTGAAAAAAATTCAATTTGATTCTCAACTGTTTTTTACACAATTGAGTCCTTTTGAGCCCAAATTGGAGTCTAATGCCATTTTTTTAGGGTAAGGATTGAATTGAAAGAAAGATGAATTAAGTGAGAAAAACATGTAACATGGGTGGCGACTCTGCAATTTGTTTGAAAAATTCATTTTAATCCCTCATCTTTTAAGTTATCAGATAGCTGAGCCCTATAATTTTTAAATATTATATTTTAGTGTCATACTTTATTTTCCTCTTTTTTTATAGTTCTTCTCCAGTGGAGGAGAGAAAAAGAGTTGCTAGATTTGAGCTTAGAAAAAGAAAGTTGTTGGCGACAATTATGACCACTAAAATGATCTATTTTTATGTCAAATGGTTTCATATCATAAGTGGAGTTGAGATTAAATATTTTCTTACCTTGAAATACCTAAAAAAATAAATATCCAAGTTCTAAAAGATATTTGTTTTTTGATTGATTATGGGTTTTTCGGAGGTCATGAATTGGTTAAACAAAGTTCTAAGGATGCTTCCTATGTGTTTTAGATAAAAAAAAAAAGATTGAAAAATAAGTTTATGAGTTGAAAAAATAAAAGTGTTGTTTTCTCAGCCATCATAATGGTTGGATTATAGACACTTATAGATGATGTGTCATCTGTCTTGACAAACAATAAAATGGATGACGCATTGTCCATCCCATTAACTTCAGGAAAAAACAAAAAGCTTGTGCATGTAGGTATGGACTTGCAAGCCCTTTTTTTGTGGGCTAAACACTAGGCTTGATCTGATTTATTGTTTTTATAATTTTTTTAAAAGTTATTACTTTTTATATGTAATTTTAAAAATAATCATTTTTATTTATGTTTTAATTGGTATTCATTCTTCGTGATTTGTTTTGTGCTTATTTAGCTTTTTTGAAATAGTGATTATTAGTTTTTTTTATTATATTGAGTGTGTTTAATTTTTTTATAAGATTAGTGTAATTCATCTATAATTTTTTTATATTTTATATAAATTAAAATTATTAAAAAAAATTATTTTCTTATAATATTTTTAATATGTACAGTCTTGCATAAAAAAATTTCCTTTTATTTTATTTAATAAATTTTATATGTGTAGATTTATGTTACAAATTGATTTTCATAAATAAATTCATTAAATACAACATAGTAAATAACCCATATTACGATATTAAATATCTTGGTTTACATTCATCTTTTAATTTTTTTTTATTTTTTTTTAGGTTATTGTTAGCAATATTTTTTTGTTTATTTACATAAATAATTATTGGTTTATTTGATTAGATGCTTGTATGAGATTTTTTTTTATTTTGATTTTTTTTAGAAAATAGCTTGCAGACCCAAAGTTTTTTCTCAAAAGAAAAATTAAAACTACAGCAGTGCACAGGTCAGACAACTAGTATATATAACTCTTATTTGTTTGATCCTATTGTTATATCAGTAGGTATAACAAACCTGTTTTGAGACGCAAAATTTATTATTTGCAAGGTATTAATTGTCTCCGTATTTCCTGCATAGTTAAAGTGATATATATTTAGGATACAACAAATTAAACCTTAAAACTTATAAACAACTTCTATAAATTTATTAAGAATCTTTATTTTGTTTTTGATAAATATAAAAAAATAGTTTGTAAAGAAACGTACGACAAAAAAGAAATTGTTTTGTAAAAATTGATTTTCATCAATATCAAAATGATATTTATAAGAAAAATAAAACTCTATTTATTTAAATTGATACGTAAAATTGAGATATTTATAAGAAAAATAAAACTCTATTCAAATTGATATGTAAAATTTAAAAATATATCTTTTCAAATCAATATATATGTAAAATTCAAAAGATAAGCCTTTAAATAAATAATTTAGCAGGTGTGTCATGTAAAATAACAAAATCTCTTACATCTCCTGTGGGATAATTTCTTTTTGTTTATATATCTAATATGCAAGCTATTATAACATCTACATTTGAGGTAACTTTTCCATTACTATTTTTATTGAGCTTGTGCAAGGAACCACTTCTTCTTTGA